CTGGACATTAAAAAGACTTGCAGAAACATACACGATGCCATTATTCTAAGTGAACCTTTTTTGTTCATTTATTTGCTTTAGAAAACAGGTTTTTTAAAGTAATTCTTGTTAACATGTCATGGGTTTATTGTTATTTTTAAATGAATTAGTAAATACTTTAAAGATTTATCCATCTTAATTTCTAAAACAATAAACGTCAATACACATAGCCCATGTAAACAAGTTTTGTGGGGTCGGCAAGAATATAAAGGGGATTGGGTACAGTGGTCACCCCTATAATGCTAGTGCTTTGGGAGGCCAAGGCAGGAGGATAGCCTGAGCCCAGGAATTCAAAATCAGCCTGGGCAACATGGCAAAACCCCGTTTCTACCAAAAGTACAAAAATTAGCTGGGCATAGTAGCACACGCCTGTGGTCCCAGCTATTGGGGAGGATGAGGTGAGAGGATCATTACAGCCCGGGATATCAAAGGTGAGTGACCCATGATCGCATCATTGCACTCCAGCATGAGTGACAGAGCAAGACCCTGTCCCAAATAAATAAATAAATAAATAAATAAATAAAAAAGAATGTAAAGGGATCTTGGGTACAAAGTTGCAGTTAGGAGAAATAAATGATAAATATTTAAGATGATAGATATGTTAATTAGCTTAGTGATTCCACACTATATACCTATATCATAACATAACCCCATTATTATACACAATTATAATTTGTCAAATAAAGCTATTTTATAATTTAAAAGAAATAAAGGATTTAAAAGAAAAGAAAAAAGTGTAAAAACATCTTAAGATGGATACGTGGTAGAATAATACTTTTAATAATTAATGGTAACTTTTCTCTCAGTATTTCCACCCTTCTTTTTCTCCCCCACTCCCTTCCATTCGAGCAGGTAGTCCTTGCATCACATTTGAGCACGTGATTTATTGCTTCAGAGGAGGAACATTACCAAGTGGAAAGCAGAAATGGTTTCTAGCTTTTTTGTTTCCCAAAAGCCTAAACCTATTAAGCAAATTATGCCAAGTGCTTTGAGGCAGTAATAACAAAACGGAGCAAGTACCACTGAGAAAAAATAGCAGCAGTGAGAGAGGGCAGCTTTCACAGGACTAGAAAAGTATTTCTAACTTCCCGAGAGTGGGTGTAGGGAAGAACAAAGACAGGAGGGAGATTAGGGGATCAGAAAAGAGAGGGCTGGGCTGAAGAGGCCAGAAGACAGAAACCAGGCACATCTCTGCTACAGTGGGCCATCTTCCAGAGTCCAGGAGCCCTCTGGGAGCTGGGTACTGCTATTGCCTAAATCCAGTCTCTGAAAGCCAGCTATCCCCTCTCCATGCTCATGACTGTCTGTAGGAGTAACACCATTTGCTTTACGCAACCTAAACAACTTCACCTTCAAAATATCCTTAGCCCGTCAGAAGCCTGAGGAAGAGTAGCTGGGGTCCTGGATACCCAGAAGTTTGGTGAAAGTCAAGTAGGGATCAAGTCTAGACCTCTAGCAGGAGAGTCTGCCTGGAATAAGCTGCAGGTCCACCCTGAGCTGGGAGAGCAGTTCAACACACCAGAATATTAGGACCACCAGACAGCCCTGTTGGGAGTTTATAGCAAATAAGGGCCTATGCTGTGTTCTAACAGAAGGGCAAACTGATTGTATAATATTTGATTGAGGTCAGCCTACAAGTGAGTTTTCTTGGTCCAGTCCAGGGGATTTGCTTTGGTTGGTTGTTCTTATCAGTGCTTTTGTGAAGAGAAAACTCTGCAGGCCCACTGTCTTTCTTCACATCTAGCCCCTTCACTCATTAACATTCCTGCCTGGCCCCTGAGGATATCTGAGTTTTCTGAGCACTCCTATGAAAAGTGCTTGATCTACTATAGGAGGATTCCTTGAGATGAAACCCTGACACTACACAAAATCACAAATACGTGCATTTTTCTGATGAGCAAGTCTTAGAGTTCATCAACTACTCAAGGGAGTATCTGATAATTGGGTTGAAATCCTGGCTGCTGTCACTAGCTGTGTCACCTTGAGCACGTCACTGAACATGTCTATGCCTCCATTGAAACTGGGAAGGTTATTTATTTATGTATTTGCTTTTTTATTCAGAAACAGAGCATCACTCTATCATCCATATCATCCAGGCTGGAGCGCAGTGGGACAATCATAGCTCACTGCAGCCTCAAACTCCTGGGCTCAAGTGAGCTTCCCGTCTAGGCCTCCCAAGTAACTGGAACTGCAGGCACATGCCACCATGCCCAGCTAATTTTTTTAATTTTTTGTAGAAACAGGGTCACGCTATATTCCCCAGGTGGGATTCAAACTCCTAGCCTCAAGCAATCATCCTAACTTGGCCTCCCAAACAGCAATGCTAATGGTATCTAACTCTAAGGGCTGATATGAGGAGCAAATGAGCTAGTATATGTGGAGGGCTTTGAATGACCAACTCTACCTAAGTGTTGGCTATCTTTATTATAGTTGGCCATATTACTATAACTAGTACATAGACCACAGAGTGGGAGGCCTGTGTCTAGGGGAATTCCAGTGTAGAGTGGAAAGTGAGAACACCTTTACTAAGCCCAGCCCATCTTCAGGACATAGCTCGCACAACCTTCAGAGCTTGCTTATTCAACAATGGGTCCTGGATAAACTTCACGCTGGAAATGGGCAATGAGGCTGCACTGCCTGTGGTCAGATATGTGCTAGCTGCTAGGCTATTAGTGCACTTCCTGTTCTAAGAAAGACAAGGATCTGAAGGTGGCAGTCAGAGGGGGCCTGGAGCCATGATCTTGGAGACCACAATTCTGCCCTAGAAGCCAGTGTGTCCTAAGTTCTGGGCTGTAGTCACCAAACTGGCCTAGAGCAAGAATAGCAGAATCAGACGGCAGAAACTGAAAACCTGCTCCTCTGCTTTCTGAGTGTTTCTGAGCAACTTAATAAACTAATCCATCATTTCCTGTTTTGTCAAATTGAGCAAGAATATATGCACTTTGGTTAAATAATTAATGTATGCAAAGCACTTAGCATGTACATAGTGAGTGATCAATAAACAGAGCCATTACTGTGGTAACACTGCGGTACTGACATCTGGCAGACAGAGAGCTGAGTGGCAACTGATCAGATGGGGGGAATCCTACAAGAACAAGTTGAAAGACTAGTACAATGAAGACGTGTTTGGTCCATTGAGCAATTTTTTGCTTCGGCTTCCCTCAAAGGTTGGGAATCACAGATTTCTTGGGGTTTATTTGGGCTTCTTAGGAATGAGGAGAGAGGAAAATAAAGATCAGAATATTCTTTCAAAACCATCTCCTCCCTTCCCACCCTAATATTCCTATGGAGAGAAATTGTGATAGTGCTTATCTGAACAGAAATCCAATCAAACTAGCTTAAGGATACAGAACCTTCTCACAGGCCCGGAGAAAAGACATGATCAAGGCCACAAGCCCTTATCTCTTCTGCTTCCAAGGTATCCCTGTTTCTTTTCATTCTGCAGACCTACTTTCTCTTCTTTATCATGCACATGATAAAAAATGGTTGACCCAGACAGCACTGCATGATTTCCTGGCTTAAATGCGGCAAACTAGAGGTACCCTATTCTGCAACCCAGATTCCTAGGAGAACAAATTTATTGGCCCAGCTCCTGTCACATACCTGCCCCGATACTCTCAACCAAATGTGCATATATATGGGATTGGGGGATTAAACAGATTGAGTAGTACAGACACATAATTTCAAACAAATTGCAGAAGAAAACCAAATGGCTAACACTTGAAAAGATATTCATCTTCACTAATATTCAAAGACATGCAAATTAGCACAATAATGTGAGGTACTAATTTTTTTTGAACTCTCAGATTGGCAACAATGAAAAATAAAGGTAATTGAAGGAAACTTGCTAAGAGAGGAAGGTGACATGATTTTTGGTGTACTATTGGGCATTATGTTTTAGTATTTTAAATGTGCATAAGCTTTAAACCAGTTATTTTATATACATGAATTTATCCTAAGGAAATAATCAGAATATGCACCGGCATATATGTACATATATGTTTATTGCAGTATTTTAGTATTTAGGAAAAACTTAGAACATTATACATGCCCTTCAGTGGAGGGTAGAGATTATGGTACAAAAGAATACTTACAGACTATTATAAAAATTATCAAGAATGAAGGCTGGGTACGGTGGCTTATACCTGTAATCCCAGTACTTTGGGAGGCCAAGGCAGGTGGATCACTGGAGGTTGGCAGTTGGAGACTCGCCTGACCAATGTGGAGAAACCCTGTCTCTACCAAAAATACAAAATTAGGTGGTGTGGTGGCACATGCCTGTAATCCCAACTATTGGGGAGGCTGAGGCAGGAGAATGACTTGAACCCAGGAGATGGAGGTTTCAGTGAGCTGAGATTGTGTCATTATACTCCAGCCTGGACAGCAAGAGCAAGACTCTGTCTCAAAACCATATATATATGTATAAAGAATGAGATGGATCAATATGCAAGATGTATACGACAAGTTGTAGAGAAAAAAACAAAGCCAGGCACAGTATCTCATCCCTGTAATCCCAGCACTTTGGGAGATAGAGGCAAGTGGATCACTTGAGGTCAGGAGTTTGAGAGTAGCCTGCGTAACATGGTGAAACCCTGTCTCTACTAAAAATACAAAAATTAGCCAGGTATGGTGGCACACACCTGCAGTCCCAGCTACTCGGGAGGCTGAGGCAGGAGAATTGCTTGAACCCAGGAGATGGAGGTTGCAGTGAGCCTAGATTGTGCCACTGCACTCCAGCCTGGTGACTGGTGACAGAGCGAGACTCTGTCTCAAAAAAAAAAAAAAAAAAAAAAAAAAAAAAGGAAAGAGTGGATAATATGACCCATTTTTGTTAAACATATAGAGTATATATTACATAATATAAAGAGTATATTTGGAGTACATACATATATGTATACACACACACATATATATATTTGAATGTGTGTGTGTTTAATATGCATCTGAAAGAATACATATAGATCCTTTTGTGGTTCATGAACAAGATGATTGGGTAATCATCCACATGTGTGAGATGTGCCATCCTCGAACCTCATTACAGCATCAGCATATTACCTATCTGATATGAAAAATATATATACAACTAATAATTGTGGCCTCTGGGAATAGAATTATGGGAAGTTTTCACTTTCTGCTTTATCCTTTTTCATATTGAATTTTTTTTTTAAATGGAGTTTTGCTCTTGTTGCATAGGCTGGAGGGCAATGGTGCAATCTCACTCACTGCAACTTCTGCCTCCTGGGTTCAAGCAATTCTCCTGCCTCAGTCTCCCAAGTAGTTGGGATTACAGGCATGCACCACCATACCTGGCTAATTTTTTGTATTTAGTAGAGATGGAGTTTCACCACGTTGGTCAGGCTGGTCTGGAACTCCTCACCTCAGTTGATCCACCTGCCTTGGCCTCCCAAAGTGCTGGGATTATAGGTGTGTGCCACCGTGCCCAGCTGAGATTTTTTTTTTTTAAGCATGAATTACTTTTATTTATTTATTTATTTATTTATTTATTTTCTTTCTTTCTTTCTTTTTTTAAAGACGGGGTTTCACCATGTTGGTCAGGCTGGTCTTGAACTCCTGACCTCAGGTGATCCGCCTGCCTTGGCCTCCAAAGTGCTTAGATTACAGGCGTGAACCACCACACCCGGCCATGAATTGCTTTTATAATCAGAAGAAAAGAGCAGTAAGCTATTCCATCTGGGGGGAAAAAGGAGTACAGATTTTATATGTCAAAGGAAAATATCTACTATTTTAAGATTAAAGAAGGAAAACAAAAATTCTAATATTTTTCCAATAACGATCAGGCCTAGCAGGTGGCAATAAAGTCTGCCCTGCCCAGGGTCTGGGGCTGTTAGGAAGAGCTCTCTAGGATGGACAAGAAAAAAGTCAGCTTCTCCTAGCACCACAGAGTACATAGGGCTATCCTTTTTTTTTTCTTGCTCTATTACCCCTGCTAGGGGGCAGTGGCATGATCATAGCTCACTGCAACCTTAAATTCCTGGGCTGAAGCAATCCTCCTGCTCCAGCCTTCCAAGTGGCTGGAACTAGGATTTATGCCACCATGCCCAGCTAATTTTTAAAACTTTTTTGTAGAGGTGAGGGAGTGTCTCACTCTACTGCTCAGGCTGGTCTAACTCTTGGCCTGAAGTGATCCTCCTGCCTCAGCCTCCCGACATGCTGAGATTACAGGCATGATCCACTATGCCTGGCCGAAGGATAATCCTATTTGAAGAAGTTGGATTACCTACAACTCAAGGGCCTTTCTCTTCTGCTATAAATGAATTAATGTACTCAATTAAAACGAATCTAACTCTTCAGCTCAAGGCCAGAAATAAAATTTTTACATTTATATATGAAAAGAAGAGGAGGCAAATGATGAGAGATGAGGTATGCAACCGAGTGAGGGCTTGGATATAGGAAGACCTAGAGGCCCAGCTGGGAACTTGGAGGTGGATTGGGGTAATTCCAGAGACATATTTACTTGCTATCAAACATAGGTTTGTGTGGGTGCTCGGATTTATTTATTTATTTATTTTGAGACAGAGTCTCACTGTGTTGCCTGGGCTGGAGTGCTGTGGTGCCATCTCGGCTCCCTGCAATCTTCACTTCCCAGGTTCAAGTGATTCTCCTGCCTCAGCTTCCCGGGTAGCTGGCACTACAGGTGTGTGCCACCACACCCAGCTAATTTTTGTATTTTTAGTAGAGACTGGGTTTCACCATGTTGGCTAGGCTGATCTTGAACTCCTGACATTATCCTCCCAAAGTGCTGGGATTACAGGTGTGAGCCACCACACCCAGCTGGGTACTCAGATTTTTTAAAGGAACTTGAGTAGGTTGAGCAATTAAGATCCTCACCAGGATAATTTTTATTTTTCTAAGTGTTTCCCTTTAGATCCTTCCTTTCTTCATAGGAACATAGTAAATGTTCAATGCCACAGTAGATTTCAATGGGGAAAAATTAACCTTGCTTTGTAGGCAACTTTACAGGAATGCCTCAGTTTCATACACTGCAGGATAGCGTTATTAATTTGGGATAGAAATAAATTTCAATTAACATAGTCTTTTTTCTTTATTCACAGTGGGCAGTTCACCAATAATGCATTTTAGAGCATTGCTCACCATCAGCATTAGAACTGAGTGAATCTTCTATTGAAATGGAGGCATCTATTCAACACATTACTTTTTCAAGCCTCTAACACCTTGACAGGCAAACCTCAGAGCAAGGTCTGTTTTCCTTCTCCTTTAGAATTCCCCTCTAAGCAAGAAACATTTGCTGAACGCCTCGCAGGGGACTTCAACATTGTTAGCACTTGTTAGCAGCCTTCCAAAAATGTTTACAGGAACGGTAATGTTGGTAATATTACACCACTGGACTTATTGCAAAGACAATTTTTTCAATGTTTGTTCATAAAAACCTGCCATATTTCTGATATTAGAGTTGATCATTCCTTACATTATGAGATTCCTAAAATGAAAGTACAAGTAATAGATCTTGAGAGCTGGGAGGTCATTTTGTTCAGGTTATATATTAAGGACACGAGTCTCTCGAAGACTAGGAAAGTGGTCTATTGTTTTATGACTAAGAAATGGCAGATATTTTTTTCTCTCCAAACCCCCTGCTTTCTTCTTCTTCTTCTTCTTCTTCTTTTTTAATCACAATCATGCATGCCTTTCTCAGCCCCATATTTGCTTCAGATATGTCAAACATTCCCTCCTCCCTATCCATATGCTGCCTTGAAGACTCTGCCCCACTCCTAACTTAAAAGGGAGAGTACTACCTGCCATGTGACTGTGCCCCACCAGTTTCAGTTACTGACCCAGGAGTAGACATCTGACTCAAGCCGGCTTGCTTGAATTCTCTCCCAGGAATTTGGAATAGGGACAAAGAGGCTGAGTCATTTAGCTGTGTGGAGCCAAGCTGCAAGGTCATGCCCATTGGCCTGCCACAGCAGGCTGAAACCTCATGCTAGCCACAGTGAAGGGAAGCTGAGAAACGATGAGTCAGCAGAAAAAGCCAGTCTACGAGCAAAAGAGCACAAAGATGAGGCAGACAGATGCCCAGAGTCAAATAGAGAGGCCATGTACCTTGAAAGGCACAGTAGAGAGAGAGAGAAATAAAATCTGCATAATCCCCTTCTTGGTCCTATAATGCCCAGGAGCTGTATCTCCAGCACTGGCTTATTGTGACCCCATAATAACCTTTGCCTTTCAATCAACCCTCTTTTTATTTGAGCTAAGTGGAATTCTGTTCCTTGCATGCAAATTCTTCCTAAGACACTTCACAATTCATATTGAATATATTTTGGGGCAGAAAGACTGTTCTGCTCTTTACGACGATTATGGAAATTGAGGTTTTATCTCAAAACCCACAACAGGCTGAGCAGCTTTCTGCATTCTCGCCACTAATTATCCAGACTCCGGAGACTGAGCTTTCAAGGTAAGTGGTTTTCAGAACTTCAGATGGGAGCCAGCCCCATTCGAGGTCTTTCCCCAAGGATGTCTTAGAGATATTCAGTTCAGGAAGAGAGATCTTATTGTAGAATGTAGCTGCCACCTTGGGAACATATGTCAGGACTTCCTAAAGTCTTTTGGCTTAAAGTTTCCAAGAAAATGTGGAACCTGATTTCTTATAAGACCACTTTTCCTTTAAAAGTACTTGCAAAATCTCTATAGGCCCAAGGTGTCTGTGAAGAGCTTAGGTACTATTTCTGTGCTAATCTCTATAGAATAACAGAAAGAACTCATTTAAAAAATTCCACTTGCCTTTCTCAAATTATTAGAAATAATCCTAGAATGAAATGATGGAGAAATGGTTGAGTAAATTAGAGTTAATCAGCTGGTGGAATACTATGCAAGTGTTAAAAGGGATAACTAACAAGATTAAACAACATGGAAAGATGTTTTCGATTCAATGAATGAGGAAAAAGGTAGAATATAAAATTGTAAGTATCAACCATGTGAAAATGGGTTTACAGAAGGACATTTTTCTTGGTAGTCTTTTAACAAGGTAATTGAGGTAGCCACAACCAACTCACAGATCTTGGTATGTAAGGTAAAATCGATTGAACATTTCTGCCTTAGATAATTTTGGCTAAGGTAATGTCACTGTCCTAGTTCAGTCCCAGAATTTCTTCCTATATTGGTCTGATTCTGTGCCTTGTGCTGATCTACTTTTGTGCTGGTCCGTAGCACCATAGCACTCTCAACTGATGGGACCTACTGATGAGCGAGTTCTCAGTCCCTCCATCTGTAGTTACTTAGTCTGGTATGGAGATCTTTTGCTTGGCACCACACAAATTTTAAGAACTGCATTTAAATTGCTTTCATTTTTTTTTCCTGCCTACTCTTTTCCAAATCTGTGTCAAGGTGGAGATATGATTGTCTTCCAGTATGCTAATAATGTCTGTAAAGTTTCTGGGAAAACCTGCCAAAGCTAGGGTGAGAGGGAGAGACCTTGAATCTCTCCTTGCATTTGGTGGGGAAAAAAAACAATCATAGATTGAGTGCTTCCTGCAAGACTTTCTTTTGTTACAGAAAAATCCTTTTATGGTTGTTTTCTGTTCCAATCATGAACAGAAGTCTCCTTGTAAACACTGGCCTCCTGCTGCTTTGCAAGGGTTTGCCGGCCTAATCATTTTATGCCTGTCCTAGTAGACACTTTTTTATGTTTGTGGCTTCTTATCATCTCTTAAAAGCCCTTCCCATATCAAGGGAATTTCTACATTTTGAGTTCTGTTTTTCAAGGTAAAACTAGAACTCTCTATTCTAGTCTTATCTGTGGCCAAGGTGCAAGGATGTGACCTAGTTTCTGTAATCAAATGTAGCCATGCAAGACTGAATGCAGAAGAGAAAACCATGAGAAAGCAGGTGTCATGCAGAATCTGTTTTCTAGTGAAGCTATGGGGCTTGCCAGTGGCACAGAAATGGCCCAGCCCCAGTGTTGGTATCCCCAGCAGAGGGTTAGTGCAGGCACCGTGCCAATGCCAGCGGCACTCCCTTCTGTAACAGTCCAGCAGTGTAATTTGGATATAACTTCCTGCCAAGTAGCTCAGAACATGAGTCTCTGGCCCT